TTAGATCTAGTTGTTACTCCCTGATTTAGATCGGTGAGGAGGTTATCCAGCGGATGCGATCTATGAAGCTTCCAACCCCTAGGAGCGTTGGGTTGGTCCACCAAGTTGTAAAGAGTATCTGAAACTGGTTCTATTGGTTCTATAGGTCCAGTGTCAGTGTTCTGTCCAGGTTCTTCTTCAGTTCCAGATTGTTCATTTTCATTTGTTGGAGGTACTTCATCAGTTTGATAGGCAGTTCCTTCATCTCCTTGAGATTGTGACTTCTTGCGAGTAATCCCTAGCTCACCATCATCGACTTGGATTGTATTTGAGACAAGTGCTTCATCAAAGATTACATGAATGCTTTCTTCCACACATTGTGTGCGTTTGTTTAGAACTTTGTAAGCCTTGCTATGAGGAGAATATCCGAGGAAGACTGCCTCGTCACTTCTAGCATCAAATTTGCCGATGTTATCTTTTCCATTGTTGTGGACGAAACATTTGCATCCAAAAGTTCTTAGATGACTAATGTTGGGCTTCCTTCCTTTGAGTAGTTCGTAGGGTGTTTTCCCTAGGAGTGGGCGGATCATGGCTCGATTAATGATGTAACATGCTGTGTTTAGAGCCTCGGCCCAGAAGCTCCTAGCTAGACCGCTGGAAATAAGCATAGTTCTAGTCATGTCCTCCAGAGTTCTATTCTTTCGTTCTACCACTCCGTTCTGTTGTGGAGTTCTAGGTGCGGAGAAGTTGTGGTCTATCCCTCGTTCTTTGCAGAAGGCATCGAAGAGAGAATTGTCAAATTCAGTTCCATGATCCGATCGGATCTTGATTAGTTGTAGACCTGTTTGATGCTCAATTTTCCTTACAAAAATAGCAAACTCATTAAACGTATCTTTCTTGCTAGCAAGAAAGATAGTCCATGTAAACCTTGAAAAGTCATCAACAATAACTAGAACATATTCTTTATTTCCTCGGCTACGGACTGACATTGGACCACACAAATCCATGTGAATCAGTTCTATGGGCTTGCTTGTGCTCACCAAATTCTTCGTTTTAAAGGATGATCGGGATTGTTTTCCGGTGGCACAAGCCGAGCAAACATGGTCAAGTGAAAATTTCATATTGGGCAGTCCAATGACTAAATCATTATTTTTAAGTTTATTTATTAGTGAAAAACTAGCGTGTCCAAGCCTTTTATGCCATAGCAAAGGATCATTATCAATAACACTCAAACAAGTCATACTAATATTAGGCAATGAGTCAAGATCTACTTTATATGTATTTTCGAGCCTCTTGCCTTCAAGTATAACTTGTTGTGATTTGTTACTAACAATGCGACAAACGTTATGATCAAAAACAACACTATTACCTCGATCGCAAAATTGAGAAATACTGAGTAAATTAAATTTCAAGCCCTTGACTAAAAATACATTATCAATAGCATGGCTAGGTGACTTTCCAACTTTACCCACGGCTATGATCTCTCCTTTGCCGTTGTCTCCAAATGTCACCTTTCCACCGTTAAATGGCCGAAGTGAGAGGAATAAAGATTTGTCTCCCGTCATGTGCTTAGAACAACCACTATCAAGGAACCAGTGATTGTTCCCCCTCACTCGGCGCTGTTCCAGGTTTAAGGTTTAGTGCGTGGAACCCAGACCTGCTTGGGTTCCATTTTGTATATATTTGAGGAAGATCTAACATAATCATAACATCTATCAAGGGTCTCTTGCCGAGAGTGACATTGATACCGAAGATGACCGATTTTGCCACAATGCATGCAAACTCGGTTATCATAAGTATCAACGTATTTGGGTTTCCATTTACCATGAAATCCTCTAGTTCTTTTGTAAAAAGTCCGGTTAGGCGTTTGTCCATAACCGTTTTTGTGCTTCTGAACCAGTCTATCGAACCAGTTTGGTCCAGTTCTAGGTGGCTGTTGATATGGTCTAGAACTGGATTGTCCTTGGGTTCTTTTATCCTTAAAGGGTTGGTTCTGAAAATTTGATTTTTGATTAGATCGGACATCCTTTGGAACATATCCGAGACCTGCAGTCTCGTTTACTTTCTTATTGTGCTGAGAAGGACCAGTTCCAAAATGATGTCTAGACCTGGTTTTGTTCGTTGCACTATAGGATTGATATTCCGGCCTATTTTTAAAATCAGTGCACTCGGCAACAAGACGATGAAGATGATCAATTAAACAACCAACACTCGGTATTTTTGAGAGAAGCTTTTCATCATGATCAACTTGTTTGTTCATACTATCGAGCTTAAGAGAACAAATAATTTGATCTTGTTCTAGAACCACTTCACTGTACTTAAGCCTTTCATCTACTAACTCTCCCACTTTTGTTTCAAGCCTTACTTTGGCTCTCGTGGCTTCCTCGAGTTTAGACTCAAGCTCAGTGATACGTGATTTAAGATGATCATTTTCGGAAAGACTTTCATTAAGCTCAATAGTCAACCTTTTGAAAATTTTCCGAGTTTTGGTTTTGGATAGAGAATCAAACTTGGATAGAAAATTTTCAAAGTTTACCTCAAAGCTTTCTTGGTCGGATTCCTCGTCGGAGAGTGCCATAAGACATAGACCCGCATGATTGGAGTTCTTATCATTTTCTTCTTCTTCATCATCGGATGAGTCTCCCCATGCGGCCATCATTGCCTTCTTGAGATCTCTATTGAAGCTTTTATCTTCACTGAACCTTCGGTTGGAACTGGACTTGTTCTTGTCGTAGGTTTTCTCATTTTTCTTTTGTGGGCAGTCCTTAGCCCTGTGTTCAAAGGAACCACAAACAAAACAACCTTGGTTATTAAAGGATTGAGTATTCTTTTTACCTTGTTTGGTACGGTTGTTCTTGAATTTCCGGTACATCCTTCCAAATTGTTTTGCAAACATGCTCATCTCGTCATCCGATTCACTTTCAGTTTCTTCTTCTTCCTCTCGTGCCTTTAGAGCTATTCCTCTTTCTCGTCTAGCATTCTCGGCATCTTGTTCTTCTTGAAGACCCAGTTCATATGTTAAGAGTGATCCAGTTAGGTCTTCAAGCGTCATGGTGGATAAATCTTTTGCTTCTTCAATGGCCGTGGTCTTAGGCTTCCATACCGGGGGCAGGCTTCTCAAGATCTTTCTTACTTGATCTTCTACAGTAATCTCTCTTCCAAGGGCTGAAAGCTCATTGATGATATTAGTAAAACGTGTAATCATATCCTTAATTGACTCTTTTGGCTTCATTACGAATAATTCGTAATTACGCATGAATATGTCAATCTTAGATTTTTTTACACGTGAGGTTCCCTCATGAGTGACCTCGAGCAAATCCCACATTTGTTTTGCAGTCTTGCATCCTAGAACCCGATTGTGTTCGGCAGGACCAAGACCACAAATTAAATATTTAAGGGCTTGGGCATTATGTTCGAGTTTCTCATAGTCTTCAGAAGTATATTCAGTTTTAGGTTTAGGAACAACATTACCTTCGGCGTTTCTCTTTGTGATGGTATTATCACCACTTTCTATAACATTCCAACCTGATAGTTATCGGCCTTGATAAAGTTCTCCATCCGACTCTTCCAAAATTGATAGTATTTGCCATTGAACAATGGTGGTCGTTGAGTCGAGTACCCTTCTTCTAGTCGGTCAACCGTATTCATTCTTCCGGATCTCTTCCCAAGGTATTAGCCTTTATGTGGTGAAGACCGGCTCTGATACCAATTGATGAAAACGGTTAGCAACACAAGAGGGGGGGGTGAATTGTGTGTGTGTGGAACCGTGGCAGTTTTTCGCCGAGTTCTAGTGTGGGATAGAGGGAATTGCAAAATAGTAAAGTGCACAAGAATTTAACGAGGAAAAATCCCTTGGCTCAAAGGGATTAAAAAACCTCGACCTCCCTCGGAGGAATTTTAAACAACTTCACTAAACAAGCCTTTGAAAGAGTTACAAGAGTGATTCTCCTAATCTACCCTTGAGCCTCCCCAACTCTATCCTCTCTTAGGAAGAGTTATGCATCTCTACCTTGCGGGTAGAGAGCCTCTCAGCTTTGTCACAAAGCTCTCACACACACTTAACCCGAGGCAGCTACTCTAGCCAATTAAGCCTCACTAGTCTAAGTACAACATGAAAGGGAAAGAAGAAACTCTATCTAGAACTCCGAGCAGGCAGTTTCAGTCGCCAAGGACTTGATCTTTTCTTGAATGATTCTTCTAAGTATTTTTTCTCAGTTCAGCTGCGCCTTCTTGTTTATACTGCTCGAGTATATATAGTTTGGTAGAAGATGTCCGTTGATCTTCTTTTCCTTAGAAGCTTGGTAGACTTGCCTTGATATTTTGAATTACCTTCCTTATGCAATATGTCTCAATGTTCAAGCAAAAGGCATATATCATTTATATTGACATTCCAATAATATACGAGATATGAGGAAGCATAACAAGGCAATAATGCAAGCATCTATTGTATGCAACGGTCAACATACTTTTCAAAATATTTATTAGAAAATATCTTTTTATGGTCAATCAAAGCGTATGCTATCAAAAAGATTCTACTCTAAGGCAACAAAGCTTTTTGCATAAATATATTACAAGCTCGATCAACTAATGCAAAGATGGCAAGTATATCAAAGGAAATTTTCCTTTCTTATCATGCAACGGTCATAACTTATTTATAAGTAAAGATTCCTTCCACACACACAATTCGGATGTAACAGATTCCTTTCCATAAAACGAGACCTTTAATATTAGTAAGAATACTCATGGTAAGAAAAGCTTTCTCAAATATTTGGTATCTTTTAATAAGCTCCGGTCAGCCAAATATGATTAATATTAAAGATATATTCTATAGGATATACAATCACGTATGGGAAAGTATTATGGGCAAGTTTAATATAGCACGGTACTATCGTAAGTACTAGACCAGTTCTTATCCTTTGTTCCTGCATGGTTAGTTAATCAAGTAGCTCAAATATGATTAAAGATCGGGTCTATCCTTAGTTCCTGCATGGTTAGTCATCAACAAAACAACATATTCAACAGTAAATTAGATCGGAGAAATTGAAGTAGCAGCGAATGAAGGGCGTGAAAGAGACAGCGGGCAACATCGGCGCCTCGGCAGTATCTGGGATGGAGAAAACCAAAGCCGTCCTTCAAGAAAAGGTCGGTCCCTCCCTACCTTCTTTCATTATGTACCATCCCATCCCATTTGCTCTTTGATTTTTTATCGAATTTCTTTAACGTTTCTTGGATTTTTATTTATAAAATCATACAGAAAATTATCTAACCAGGAGTAAACCTGCAATAATAGGACTTTAATGTTTCATAGAAAGTAAAAAAAAACATGGGTTGATAAAAAAAATCTGATTTCTTTATTAATTAATCGTTATCTTGATAAAAACTACATATTCAGGAATTTTTATAAAGCCGTAAACAACATATTTGATAATAGTTATTTAAATTATTCAAAATTATTTATGTTGATCAAATGAATACGAAACAGGATCATTGAATTGGATAGATGTACTACTACATGTAGTATTTTATAATTGAAAAGAAGGGTTAAATAAGGCCTTCTACTATTATGAAATAGTCACATAAGGTCATGTACTCAATAAAGTGTCATAAGTTCGATCTATTCACAACCTCCCAATCCCGGTTTTAGTTTACATGTCGATTTTTTTTACTTGTATTTCAACCAATCTTAGTTAAATATTCGACGTATGTCGTATAATCTATTCTAAAAAGATGGTCAGAAGTATGCTAAAACCGGGATTAAGAGGTGTTAAATAGGTCATTAGTTCCCATTTGATTGCTTTTTACAAGTAGAGGTACTTATATGACACTTTATTGAGTACATGGTTACTATTTCATAATAGTAGAAGACCTTATTTGATCCTTTTCTCTTTATAATTAAATTAAATTCAGAGCGAGGCAGTCCACATACCAGCGAACAAGATCTAGTGTCGGAGCGACATCATCTGATCCTTTTCTCTTTATAATTAAATTAAATTAAATTCAGAGCGAGGCAGTCCACATACCAGCGAACAAGATCTAGTGTCGGAGCGACATCATCTTTGGCGCCACGATAGCCACTAGCTTTGTATTTCCTGTACATAGTTTCTTAACATATGCACATTAGAGAGTCTCGAAGCAGACTCAGAGTTAATCACCTCAGTAAAAACAATATAACTCGTCCATTCATTAATGGGCGCAACTGAGCCAAAGAAGATCACCGCAGACTCCCTGTCACTCAAATCCAAGCTCAAAGTCTTACAGTGCAACAATAAAACAAGTCGGAAAAAAAACTCCGACATCATAAAAGAACAAGCGCAACAACAAGAAAGTAAAAATTCTTCTCCGTCTTCCACAAATAAAAGGCCATCCGCCATCCCGATCCTACTGCCCGAGTCTTTCCCTTCGGCGGGCTTAGAATTCTGAGCCCGCCTCCACCCCATTTTTGGCTTGTCAATAGCCATATTATCCCTGCCTTGTCCACTCTGGTCTTGTGCTTCCTAAATCCTTCTTCTCTCCTTGTCTGACACTTCCTTATTGCTCTCTAGATCCCCATCCTTAGTCGTGTTATCCCCTGTTCCAACTGTAGACTCCTTCCAGCCTTGCCCTCCTGATCCGCCTCCCGTTTTGGAATTCTCTTTGGATGAATGACTCTTAGCTGCACTAGAGGATCCCTCTACGAGCCACTTGTTTCCTGTTGTAGGACTAGACTTCACCACCCCACAAACTCTCGAACTAACTCCATATTTTTTCTCCAAATCAAGTTATCCTTATAAGTCAGAGGACAAAACTTATCAGCATGACCAATAATTTCACGAATAAAGCAAAATTGGGCAATTCTTTATATTTAAAATCCACTCAATGCTCAATTCCTGCTTTCTTAAGAGTTGTTCCTTTCTTCAGAGAGTTACATCCATACAAACCCTAACACGCAAATAAGCCTCTCACTTTTCATCTAATTGATTGTCATCATATTTGACAGAACTACCAATAAAATTGTCAACTCTTCTAGCAGTGCCTAGGTTCATCAGGCTATAAGGAACATTATGGACCTAGTTATTTGATAATAATTATTTAAGTTATTCAGAGTTATTTATGTTGATCAAGTGAATACGAAACATGATCATTGAATTGGATAGACGTACTACCATACGCACTACTTTATAATAAAATTAAATTTAGAGCAAGACAGTCCACATACGAGCGAACAAGATCTAGTGTCGGAGTGACATCATCTTTGGCGCCACGATAGCCACTAGCTTTGTATTTCCTATATATAGTCTCTCAACATATACATTAGAGAGATAGACACAAAGATTAAATTTGTGACATAGTCTCTCAACATATACATTAGAGAGATAGACACAAAGATTAAATTTGTGACATTTTTCTCTCTTGCTTTTTATGATCTTATTTGTTTTTGATAAATTTTTTTTAACAATATATTGTACCTTTCTGAAAGTCCTAGTTATTCAAAAGGAAAAATAACTAGGACTAAACAAGTGAGCGGATTCGAACTTGGACAAACTAAGCAAGCATGCAACATCTCAGCCACTAGGCTACGGAACTCAATATGTGAAGTTTGAAGCTTAAACGGTTTTATATACTATGAATAAGATAATGGTATATGCACAAAAATAAATTTTATATATATATAATGGGGTTGGGTGGGGGTTGAGTGGGGGCAACTGCCCCTGCCCCCACACCAGATACGCCCCTGGTACCAAGTACAGTTACACTCAAGCCTCAAGTATCTCTAATTCTCTATAACTAAAGAGCAAATTATTCTTCTTTTGGCAGTACCAGACTTTAAACATGACAATATTTTTCAAACTTGACAGTAATTACTCTTATTTTGGGAATAAAAATATTCCTATTTTGGGAATAAAAATATGACAGTCCTATTTTGAAAGTTTCAAACTTATTTACTCTTATTTCGGGAATTTTCCCAAATATAATAACACTTTAAAGAAAAATAGAATTTTATTTCCCATGGGACCCACATACTATTAGTTGTGAAGTTCATTTTCTTCCCTTCCCGGCCTTCATACTCAGGTGAAATGGGGGGCCAGACTTCTTGTAAGCCCAACCTAAAGAAGAAATCAAAGAAAAGAAAGGATTCTAGAAAACTATTGAGCATATTCTCGGATGAATTCACTTCAAAAAATCACTTTTTCTATGAGTCTGTTTGGAATACACTTACCATTTTTAGATTCACTCTTTTTGTTCATAACGGTTGTGATCGATCATTTGAAATTATATATGCATGCATTGTATGCTGCATATGTGTGTGTATGCGATGATACTTCACATGGGTGCTAATTAAGTTATTAATGCGCCTTCATGTTGTTTGAAGGTGGAAAGGATGACAGCGCACGATCCACTCGAAAAAGAGATGGCAACACAGAAGAAAGAAGAAAGGATCAACCAGGCCGAGCTGGAGAAGCGAGAGAAACTAATGGCACACAAAGCCGAGGCGACTACCGGCGTAGCGGCGGGCAAATCGTACTCATATTCTACTACCGGCGCAGCAGGGCATCCGACTGGCGCTCATCAGATGTCAGCCATGCCGGGGCACGGCACTGGAGCTCCAGTGGGAGAGGTGATCGAAGGGGTGGTGGAGTCTCGCCCAATCGGAACCGCCATGCCAGGGACTACGAGGCTGGAGCACCACCGCTCATAATAATGCCCCTGGCGCAGGAGGCACTTAAAGATCGAGTTAAACTTATTGTTACTGTGCGTGGCTGCATTTCTAATAAATAAAAGAATAAAAAGATGAAGTATGAAGTACTTTTTTAGACGTAAAAGCCATTGTGTAATTGGAAATGACATGAGTGTCAATGGGAATTAAACTAGTTCTTATATACAAGTGTGCACTCCACGCCTACTAACTTCTATTAGATCATAGTTCTAATTCTCATTGGCACTCATGTCATTTCCAATTACACAAAACGGCCAAAACGGCCGGTGACACTAACAGCCCTATATACAAAACGGCCAAAACGGCCAAATCACCAACAGCCTATGCATCAGACGCGGCCCAATAAACCAGGCTTACTAAATTGATCCAACCCTATAATAAGAGCCTAATAATCACATGTATAAGTCATTTAAAGTCATTTAACGGGAGAAGATTTACTTATAGAACAATACTGAAAAGGGAACTTTTCTTCCTTGCTGGTGTGGGAAATTGAATAGGCTATTAAGAGTTTAAGACACAAAAATGCAAATGCTATTGCTACAGAGTACAGAGTATTTTTGGGATGGTCAATGGTCATACCCTGGCTTTCAGCAAGGCATTATTATATCTCATTATAATCATTTTTTGGAATATAAAAGAGATTAATATTTTTTATATATTCAACTACTACTTTTTATTATTACATTTTTTTTGTAATAGTTAAATTTATATTTTTCATATTTAGGACTCTGAAAATCTAAATTTCTTGGAAATGAGAAAAATGTCTTATTGTTGTAAGATGCTATGTAGTATTTAACATATTTAAACTGAAGTGTATTGTGTTAACATATTTATCTCTTTTAAAATGAAGTGTATTGTGTTAACAAATACTTTTATTTAAACTGTTTTTTAATTAATAATTTTTAATTTTCCCAAAATAATAATAATTTTTAATTTGATATAAAGTAATAGTAAATAATACGGAATAATTAATGTAGTACTGGTATACAATATATTATACAGAACTATTTTACTTGTGTAAATAAAAGGCCCAATTTTTTTACTATTGCACAGGGTCCCGACTTTGTTACGGCCGGCTCTGGTTATCACAATCTCTTTTTTCGGCTCATTATGTTCTTTCTTCCTAGACCATTTATCTAGTTTTTTTCTGTCCTCCCTGAAAAACAGTGGTCCGACCTCAAGATTTTAATGGCGAGCTAATCTTTTTGTTCCGCTTGGTCTCCCTCGAAATATGACCGCACAAGAAGTATTTTAAAATTTAATCATCTGTAATTTTGTTTGAGGAATTTTAATTATCTGTATTAGAAAATCAATTTGTATCTTACGGAGTATTAATTTGGTGATAATTTAATTTTTAATCCATCTGTATGTTCTTCGCATTTTAATGGCTTCTGCCTCTTTGGTCTTGGTAAGATTTACTCCGTATGCGTAAGTGATTATTGGTCTTGGGAATTATCCATTGTCAGAGCACTGTAGCACTTTTTGCTTTTAAGCTTGTAACAAGGATAGAATAGGAAAAACACATCTTGGTCGAGCGTTTCTTAATTTCTGTGCCTGAACCCCATGATGAAGCTATTTCCGAATGGGGGAAGTATGAAAATTTTCAAAGGCGGGTATCAAAAATTATTTCCAACAATAATTAAAGGATTAAGTGTGTTAAAATTCAAAATCGAGTAAGGTTAGTGACATAATAGTCAGATGATTAAAAGTGACAAAATGTTAGTGACATAATAGTCAGATGATTAAAAGTGACAAAAACTCATTCTATAAGAACAAACACTACAATATGGAGACAGCTCACCACGCGTGGGGCTGTCTTTGAAAAACAAGAGAATCAAGAGATGACATGATAAAAGTTTCAGAATTAGATTGACTGAGATATGAGGTTCTTGGTATATGGGACAATGGCAGCCCCTCTTAACTCTTCTGCAATAACCTAGCAGCCAAGTAGGTATATTTTCATGTTCAATGTTCAACTTCTTCCGGTTCCAATTGTCTTACACAAAAATAATTTTTGGTTCTACTAATAATGTCTGCTCTCGATATGAAGTCCAAATGCCCTGTTGCCTGTGGATAGTCGAAGGCTCATTTTGGAAGCTTGAGGTAAGCCATATTATGTATTGCATAATCCTAGAGAAAAGTTGTATGATGATTCCACCTACGGAGTATTTTTTTGTGATTTGACTACCTTTCCACCAAACATATGGCCGTCAAATACATAATCATTTTCACGAAGACCGAGTTCTCCAATTCTTTGAAACACGTTTCCATACAATCAACTGCTAATGATAGGTTGGGGTTAGGTTCCGCCCACGGAACAGCATCCTTATTGCAATGCCTCCACCAGTGAGCCTTTCCAAGATTGGAATCTCATCTTGTAAAACAGAATTTACTTCAATATGTTCAGTGTGCTTCCTGCGTTGAAGACCTAGCGCCCAGTAACGTATGGAGTATCTGTGTGCAATCTATACAAAGTAGACCATAGAGGAACAGAACAACCGAGCAGATGGCCTGCTATAGGCCTGCATTAGCGGGCAGGGAATAGTAGCTGAGAGTGTCGTGAGGTAGACCACTATGCAGTGGGCAGGCGACGAACAATAGGCTTTTTTACGACAACTGAAGTAGGGGTAGATTTCTATTTCAAAAAACTACTCCGTATATATATACACATATATACATACAAACCGGGGGATCAATGGTGTAGATTATATTTTTTGGAGATAAAACTGTAAGAGGAAGTGTAGATGATAATTGATAAATGCCTAGGAAGTAGGAAGTGAATAAAGGAAGCCAGCGACAAAGGCACAGAACCTGGGCCGAGCACACAGGTCTTATTGATTTCAAATTAGAGTGAGTGAAATTATGGATGAAATGGATTGGTTTTGTTTTCTATATGCAATTCTATTGATATCAATCCAAATAAAAAAAAACCGTGAAATTATTGAAGATCACAGAATCATCAAGAATTTAATTTGGCGACACCAAGATTGTTATGGAATTCTAAATTCCTTTACAATCCAAATTGGGGACACCCCTTAGTTAAATGAATGACACGTAGATTTTAGAAAACTAAAAGCAGAAAAGTGCTGAAGAATCAAACAAGTTATGTACATCTGGCTTGCTTCTAGCAAACTAGCATCGTTGTCTACTTGGTAGTGTTACCTACTAAAAGTTACATTAACTAGCCATAGCAACACATAAAAAGTCCAAGCCTTGAATGAAGCTCCCAAAATCAAATTCAAACTTCCTTGAATTAGACCCCCACCTCGAACAGTTAACCCAAGTTCTACAACTTGCGCTTTCCTTTTCTGATAGCAGCTCTTGTTGTTCCTGATTCTCCACTAGCCTCGGGAGAATCATCCACCACTAACTGCTGCTCCTGCAAAACCAGACCTCGGTTCCTAGACAACTTCCTTATCGGTGTTGTTGTCCCTCTTTCTGATTGTTCTTCAACATTAGCTCGTGCCGCTTCTGGGTACATAGTCAGGACTTCTTCATTTCTGTGAGGCATTAACTCCTCCCCATTCCCAACAGAAGCCAGCATTAGCTGGCATTTAAAGAAGGGGCAATGCGTTAATAACAAATCTTACCAGCTTTAGAGACAAACACCAATGAAAATATGATTGCCTTAACTTCAAAATTCATTGCCATTTTAACCTTTTTATTGAAAGCAGTTGACCTTTTTAAGAATTCCACACATTTGTTTACTCATCTTCCAGGAATCCAGGCTAATTCCGCCTGGTCCCTAATTTACCTTGGAAGAAATAAAATACAACTTAATTTTTTGTGACCAGTCAATAATTGTTATTTGGCTGAAAAAGGACAAATTTGCTCAATTTTCTAAAAGGAAAGGCAATTGGTAAAAGTGTAAAACCCATTTCAGCCAGATAGGCAAGTCAAATTTTATTTAATGCGACTTTTCTGCAAGTAATCAGAATAAGCCAAGCCAGATATGGCTAAAAATTGAGGTGTAAAGTGAACTATTTTGAGATACACGGTGTATGAGAAACGAGGTACCTTCCAATCATTAAAGTCAAATCTGAAAACAAAATGAGTATAGGAAACTTCTCCAGAAAGAATTGCGTTTGCAGCAGGGGCATTCCTAGGTGCTGAAAAAGAAAAAATACTATTCAGTCAGAAGAGAAACATAGTAAAAGAAGTTAAGATGTAGATTTGGAGGAACATACAAACAAAGTGGACGCCCTTCTCGTCAACGGTTATTGCAGCCCTTCCATCTTTGACCAAAAAAGATAAAGCAAATAGATTTTCTACTGTTTGTGCAAATGATCTTCTATTCAACAGCAATACTTCAAGCTTGACCCTCTTGTGCTTTCTTAAGATTTGGAACATTGTTGCCATATTTTTGTCTGTGTCCGTGTTTTTGTCTGCTGAGCTGTCCGGAAGCTACAGAAAAAGTAAAAATAAATGTGTGATCAGATCCAATAATGTCATCCTAGTTTCTTATATTTAGGGTCCATTAGGAGCCTACTTCAGCCTATTCTACTTATAAGATCTCGAGAATAAGCAAAAAGAATGTCACCATTTTGACTGAAATGGTATTTACCGAACACTTTTCTTTGCCTTGTAACACATAGTCAAGGATGTCATCCATTTAGCCAAATAACACATACCAAACAGGTTACTAGAATAGACGATAGTCTGTTCATGTCATTCCAATGACAACTATTTAAGTTGGATTTAAAGTATAGTCAAGGATTTATAATGAACTTTACTATGCTGCTTATATGGCGGATGGAAATAGCTATGGTTGAATTGAAGCCTGTCATAGATTAAGCTAAATAAAAAGCTGAAGGCGTCAGCACAAATCTCTAGGATTAAAAAGAGATCAGTCACATAAACAGAAAAGTCTTTACCTCCTCTGGTCGTTCATTACCAGTAGGCTTTACACGTTTTCTTTGTACTGCAACCTTGCGTTGCTTAATTTCAGTACTTATAGGCCCAATCCTGAAAAGAAGAAGAAGTAAAATTAGTTTAAAGGGTTTGAAACAAAAAAAATGAACAAAAAGGGAAACCTATTAATACTAACATTGTACAGCATCCAGGAGCACTCTTGAAGAAATCGGGGACAGCATGGCTAACCTCCTTCCACCGAATGGAATTTCGACTATAGTCTGTGCCAGAACTGGGGCCTGCTTGATCCCCAAACTGCCTAAGCAAACACGTAATAAAATCTGTAGGGGTAACTCCTTCATTTCCATGTGACTTTACAGAGGTCACTAAACTGTTTGTGATGTCCAATAATGTTTCAGCATCTGCAACTTGTTCTCTAGGGTTTTGTACTGCAAATGAACCAATTACTATTAGCATTAATATAAAAGGTCTTCCCACTTTCCTTTTTAACCATAACTAAATAATCTTCCCATTTCTAAATCTCCTTTCACTATTCATAATCTCAGCAACTTCTCATATGGGAAGTTATTATAATTGTTACAGAGGGAGTATAACAGTATCAGTTTGTCTTGTAAATTTAGTTGAAGCCTATTATACAAACTGGGGTGCAATTGAAAATGTATAGGAGTATCTGTGGCTTGCAAAACAAGAGAATAGCAGCAATGAATTTAGCATCAAGTAAAAGTAGAATAAGAGTACCTTTCTCGTGCAACCTTTCAACTTCTTCGAATATTGAACTAAATTTATCTGAATCAAACCTGGATAAATCATCTTTTCCATCTGCATTGTACAAAAACAATATTTTTGCATTATTTCATAAACAAGAGACCTCACTCCAACTTGCACTTACTGGCTACTAAGCTTCCTGATCAAATACGCATGTCAATCTAAACAAGTAGCTGAAAACAGACTTCAAAGAGTAGTAAAGCCCATAAAGAAATAGAAAAATAAGTAAAAGGAAATAATTTTGCTTGTAATTACTTAAATAACATGTTTTCAACTTGATTCTGATGGATAAAATCTCAAGGAATCATCCGAGCCTTGGGCAATCCTCATACAATTAACGCAGAAAACAAAGCAACTTCCTGCTATGACACATGTGCAAATTGCAAGGCACAATCAGAAGGAAACTCGGAAATTACCACAAATCCGAGTCTTAACATTGAGATATCGCGAACGAAGAACTCTGCGGTCGAGCGTGTCGGCTTCCCCGGAACTATTATGGCTACAGTCACCACCATTGCTCTCTGATGCTCCGTGCTTTCCACTCTGAGAACATTCTGCTTCGCGCTTCACTGCTCGCACCATACCTTACAACCAGAAGGGGAAGAACAGTTTCTCTAATTTATAAACGAGGGATTCCGGCCACACACATGCATACATACATTTCTTTGCGCGTACGTTTATAGACGGAGAGACAATAGGGTCGAGTGAGAAGTGGGGGGAAATAGCGGAAGCTAATCGAAGGAGAAAAGATGGGGGGAAAGCCCTAGAATTTCAAAGGTATATGAAAAGATAAATGTGTTCGCGCTATTTCACAACCCTAACATAGCTTCTCTACCTGTTTACAGTTTTCTTTAACGTTTTCCGAGTTGCGTACTCTGCACGAATAAAAGGGGCTTAGGCTCTTCTCCTTATAAAAATGGACATAGAAAATGGACAAATTAATTACTCCCTCCGGTCCACAAAATTCTTCCCAGATTTGGCATGAAGATTAAGAAAGTGGATAAAGTATTAAAGTATAGTTGTGATTGTGTAAGAAAAAGGTGAAATGAACGTGACTACACAAATTGTCCAAAAATGGTAAGTGAGATGAATTTTTTGGGATGACAAAAAAGGAAAGTAGGAAAAAGTTTATGGGACGGAGGGAGTATATCCATAAACAATATTTAGAAAAATTATTGGCTTATAATTTCACTTTTTGTTTTACGAGTTTTGTGACAATTCCATCTTTAGTTCACATTTTTCACTTTGTTTACTTTTGGTACTTGACTAATATTTTTTAATCGTTTGTGGTCCTTTTCCGGCAATTTTAACCATCGGAAACAATGCCAGAAGGACACAATAGTCATGTATCAAAAGTGGTGATGGAGTGTAATCCAACTACGAGAGCTATATCTACGAGAGCAGATGAAATTTGGGTAGCGTGAGGCAGTATTATTAATCCGGAATTCAGTCCTTTCATAGGAAATATACAGGAAGTATTTATAGACCTTATGAACTAAGGTTCTAGGAGGAAACTGATACATTAAATGCTCATTAATCGAAATAGCCTCCTATAACACCTTGGACGTTGTGCAATTATTATCTCCTTTAGGTCTACGTTTCTTCCGTTTATTCCTGCCTGCTGCCAGATAACTATGCACGAACGATAGCCTGCCACGTAAGCCCTATGAAGAGTCCGACCTTACTAGAACTCCGTCCAGGCTCGAGGTCTGCTGTCCAGCTTGACTTGGTTGTGGGTTCCTTTCGCGAGTCTCATTCCTAATTAGGCCCATTGGCTAATTAACACTAATCCCACTTATGGGCTGATCCCGTTAGGGGCTTGATCCCATAAAGGGCTAACTAATCCCGTCGATGGACTAATCCCGTTGAGGGCTTGATCCCGTTTATGGGCTTTAACTATAATTTCTTAATTGGGCCATGGATGTAATCCATGATACCATCACGAGCCTCCCTACTCTCTAAAATCAGCCAGGCTGGATTTTAGTAGAGAAATCGAGCGGGCACTTCAAATTTCGAATCTCTGATGAACTGTAGCGCCGCTCCGCATTAAATGCGCCTAATTTGAGACATGCTTGCAGCCCGGCACAACTTCCAATTCACCTTACGAACTTCAGCACTCAAGTGCCTCGATTGCGGTTTCCACGCCCTAATTTCTTGGCTATTTAAACGGCCATCATTCTTCGTAAGAACTCTTCTGCAATTTTATTCTCGCACAAGCACTCCATTTTCTTGGTTGGGAACCCTAGACCGCATGAACTCTTTCTCCTTCGTCTTCGTTTTTCCTCAGGTCAGTCTTTCGATGTCTTCTTCTAGTTCTGTTCCCATCCAACATGTATTTCCTGATGATGGGGCCACTTCAAATCGGCCCCAAATCCCTGTGGACTCCCATGGGGTTGAAACCCACTTCTATCTTTCTTCTGATCATGCCCGGAGAGTCCCGACCATTGCCCTTTCTGACTCCGAATTCAATGAGGCGGTGGCAATCGCGGACTATAGCGTTATTTGTTTGATGATGTTCTGCTTGATCTTTTTTGGCACTTTCTGATTTTCTGAGGCTTTCCGACCTTGATGGGGCTGATTTCCATCCCTTGGAACCTGATCCTCTAGGAAGTTGGCCTCTGATTTTGTCTTTTGTTCTGAGCTTGCATTGTTGTAAGTTCTGGATGGCCTCCAGGCCTCCCTATTTGCTTTAGGCTTATTAGCTCGTTTTTAATCACAATTGTCCTTACTTGTTTTTTGCCTTGAATTTCCGGTCAAGGTTATCTTTCCTGTTTTAAGGAAGACTTTACCGATTTTTAACCCTAGGCTCTTAATGATTGAGCCAGATTGGATGGGCTTTCATTTAGGTAATTTTTGACCTTATGATGAGCCTCTTGATCGGAGAGGCTTTTATGCCTCTCCGGTGCAAAGTTGATCCCCTTAGTTCATCTTTAGCCTTGTGAAATCAATTTTAACCTTGAAAAAGGTTGTCTTTTCCTGTTTAAGGAAATCTGATTTCGTTTATAAGGCTGTTTAACCTTGAGAAAGGTTGTTTATTCCCGCTCTCGTCTTTGGTAAGACTAAGTTGAGCTTCTAGAATTTAGATGAGTCTGGAATTTGTACTTTGTCTTTTTTTGCGAGTACCAATTAGGCATAGCCTTCATCCCTTTTTTGGCTAGTTAAGAAACCTTCGCAAGTAATTTGTAAAGAACATTTGTGAATAAAAATGAAACTATTATTAAAAGTTTATGCCAAAAAGAGCTACATACTTACTGGTAGAATTTAAACAAGTGCTCGGAATTCCACACCCTGTCTACCAGTTTTCCTTTCGGAGTACATAATTTGTAGGTCTTGGGCCCAACGATTCCCTTGATTTTGTAAGACCCTTCCCAATTCTTGGCTAACTTTCCACCCTCTAGAGGCTTGCTAGCAGAGCTTCTTCTTAGGACCAGATCACCGATATCGAACAACCATGGTCTGACCTTGGCATCGTGATATTCTTTCACTTATCGCCTATAATTTTCAGCCCTGATGAATGCCCCACCCATTCTTTCTTCAACTAGGTGGAGCTCGGCCCTTAGCATCTCCTCATTATCCTTAGGATCATAATCTTCCACCCTTTTGCTTTGGACGAATGCCTTCAATGGTGCCCGAGCTTCAAAACCATAAGTTAAAGCAAAGGGGGTATCACCAGTAGCCTTCCTTGGAGTCGTCCTATATGCCCAAAGTATGTTGTTGAGTTTGTTCACCGAGGTCATTCCCATGGATTATAATTTCTTCTTGAGGCCATCAACAATCGTTCAGTTTGCATTTTCCACTTGCCCGTTGCATAGGGGATATGAAATAGATGCTTTGATGGCCTCAACTCCCCATTGCCCACAAAATTCTTTAAAGGGCTCAGAATCAAACTGCTTTCCATTATCAGTGATAATTTGCATGGGAACACCAAACCGGCAGAATATATTCCTCCAAACAAACCTCTTGCATTGCTCAGTCGTGATAGTGGCCATTGGTTTGGCCTTGACCCACTTAGTAAAATAATCAATAACAACTATGACAAATTTCCAATCTCCTGAGCCCTGCGGAATTTGGGACCCACTAGATCGGTTATCCACCTTGAGAAGGGGATTGTCGTGCTAATCTTAACCTATTATAATAAAGGACAGCTATTGTTATTAAATGCTTAGTTCGAGTGTTCTGTCTCTTGCACTTTGCTGTATCAAGATGTACATTGTGCTTTTATTTTCGTACTCTAGGTATTGTGCATCAGTGAAACGTTAACACACCGTTAACTGGTTAACGGCGTAAGTCTACAAGTCACTCCATAAAAAACTACTACGTACTCCGTAATATGGACGGTTTTTTGCGAATCCGTTTGTGAACCCAAATTGACATCATCTTCCCAGGTGCGTTTGAGAAGTTGGAGCATCACAACTAAATTCTATTAAATGATATTTCAGTTTCAGATTGTCTTATTCTCTTGCTCCAGTTCCTATATAAATGGGAATTTCCTTCGGTTCCTCAACTTTTTCACGCGGCCTGGTCAACACTTGCCTACTGAGTTTTTCTGTTCTCCGATCCCCTCCAATAGTTCATGTAACACTTGAGATTTAATATAAATGGATTAATAGTACTACTCATACAAACAGAGGTGCATCTCCTTTTAAGGGAGCTCATCACCCAAGAACTCCAAAGTTAAGCGTGCTTGCACGGGAGTAGTCTTGGGATGGGTGACTCCCTGGGAAATTTCTCAGGGCGCGCATGAGTGAGGACAAAGTGTGCGGTAAAGGCTCGTGGTGGTTTGTGAGGACATACTAGAGGTCTGAAGTAACTACCTCAGGTCCCACGGGGCTGGGGTGTTACAGGTGGTATCAGAACAACCCTGCGACAGTGTGCTGATCCGTTGGATATCGGGCAGACACCTAGCAGGGGAAAAGATTCTGGGGTTTGATTGAAATTGGTTTAAGGGCACAACGAGGACGTTGCGATCCTAAGTGGGGGTGATTGTAACACTTGAGATTTAATATAACTGGATTAATAGTACTACTCATACCAACAGAGGTGCATCTCTTTTTTAAGGGAGCTCATCACCCAAGAACTCCAAAGTTAAGCGTGCTTGCACGGGAGTAGTCTTGGGATGGGTGACCCCCTGGGAAGTTTCTCAGGGCGCGCATGAGTGAGGACAAAGTGCGCGGTAAAGGCTCGTGGTGGTTTGTGAGGACAGTACTAGAGGTCTGAAGTAACTACCTCAGGTCCCACGGGGCTGGGGTGTTACAGTTCATGTTTATCGATTATCATTAGTCATTATCATAGCCTTGGTAATTTGCTGCAGGCACGTCGTCTATTATGTTCTTATGTTTCTTATCTATTGTTCTGTTTACGTTTCTTTATGCATACATGAATATTAAAGTCAAGCCACTTGCAATGCATGGTATGAATTCACGTGGATGCATTTTTTATTACCTGGATAGGAATGAAGACTTCACATAATACTCAAAACTTACGCATGACATGTGTTTGAGGAAATGTCAAGATAGAAACTGAATGTAAAGATGTGGTGTTTGATTGATCAAATTTCACATACACTCAACCAAATGCTCTGTGAAGGATCCTCTCAATTTCTTCCTTTGATTACATGCTATAATATACAGCTCTTTGATCACATACAGCTCTTTGGTAAAAATTTAGGACCAATAATATACCATAGGTACGATACAAATACAAAATAGTGCATTTCATCAACTTAGTTCACTATTATTTTTTGCAAAATTTACTCATAGAAGAAAAATAAGTCTCCATTACTTTTTTATTTTTTTGTACTTCTAAATCAGTCTTGTTTTCCGGATAATAAACAAATAACTCTTGCTCT